CGCCTTTTTCCCAAGTATATGATTAAGATTATTATAATGATTAAATGACGATGATAATGATTCCTCATAATTACAAAAATGTATTATCAATAGGTATAGTGGCACAGAACTAAAATAGTAGTTGCCTGGTATTATACTACTATATATATGGTATTATAACTACTATAATAGTAGTTTTAAATAGTAGGCATACAGGTCTCCATTTAATAAAGACCCCTCCAATTGAAAGAGCACGTAAAATTAAACACCAATTTCCTGTGGTCCCAAATTTACAAATGCTTTTTATTTTTATTATTCTAATTAGAAACCATAGCTGCTAAAGACCATGTAAAACCCGGTCCCAAAAATGGCCTTTAATTGGAGGGAGGCCTGTAGTATAGTAATAAACTAGTACCGGTACTGTTTTGTGTTAAAATGAATAGGACTATGTTTAATCTGAAAACTTGTTTGGTTTGGAGAAATCGGGTTACTTTTATTGTTTCATCATGAGTCTGCAAATTAAAACATTCACAAAATTACAAATTGTCCTTTGTGTCCTCTTGGTTTGGACATCTCTGTCGACGAAACAGCTGGACCACCTCTAGTCTCCGGTTATGGCCCCGGACATGGCCCCGGACTTCAAGTGGCGTTCAGGAGAAATGACAAGAGAGCAACCAGGTCCCCTTTGACCACAGTGTAACAAACATACATTACTTTAGTTTGTATTAAGTCCTGCCTACATTTACGTTCTTTCTCATTCTGAAATATTAAGTTCTACAACATTGGTAAAATGTCTTGCTTTATCTAAAGAATTAGACCTCATAACTTAAAACACTATATATAATGTCTATGCTTTAAAAGTAGGTCCACTGTGTTTAAATTATTCGATATCAACAAAATTGTATTCAATAGAGTATCTATAAACTCTAAACAGAGAAGGCCCTATGTCTGTATTCCATGATTATTAAAGGACTAAAAATAGGAGCGGTTAAAAGCGGTCTTGTCTATATTATACTATTATACTATGTTCACAATTCTATGTAGGGATCTTGATTTTAGCCCTTTTTATTATATATATACTGTCTCTTATACACATCTAGATGTGTATAAGAGACAGCCCCATGGATAATTATGCAAGAAAGAAGACATGAAAGAAAAAAAAGAGATTTAAAAAAATTAATTTAAAAAAAAACAAAAAAAAACAAAAAACAAGAAAAATAATAAATAAGAAATAACAAAAGGAAGAAAAGAAAAAAAAGAAAGAAGTAAAATGGTGGAAAGAAAATGACAACGAAAAAACTAAAAGAAAGGTAAGTATCAAAAATGAAATAAGAAAAAGGATGAAACAATATTAAAAAGAAAGTAGATATTAAAGGGATAGTAAAGAAAAAAGATGCAAAGTAAAAAATTCAACCTAACTGGAAGGAAAGGGAAAGTATTTCATGGAAAGTTTCAATTGATAAGAATATTTCTAAGAAAATTACAAATTTCTGTTAATTATTAACAGATATACACAATATAAAAAAGAAAAACATGAGCAGTAATAATGTGCTAGCTAAACTGTCTAGTCAATGGACTGCCAAAATCT